CGGACAACAGGCTCTTCAAACCTTGGACCGATCCGATCCGGCCGCAGCCGCGGTTTTATACAACCCTTGGTCCCTATCCTTTGTCAACTTGCAACCGACAACACAAGGATCGCGACTCGTTTACAACACCCTGGTCATCATCCTTATTATAATCCAGGAATTCTTCTATCTGGGCTATGTCAACGGTCTATACGTTCAATTCAAACTCTATACCTCGGTGGCACCTCATCGAATCGCCATCGCGCGGCAACTTATCTCCGCCTTTTACACTCTGATCGGGTCACTTTGCACTGCGGGAGCCATCTGGGCGTTTCGGCATGGTTGGAACGTCAATGGTAATCAGTTCGCCCTTACATGGATGGCCCTGTGGCTCTTCGCCCATCTCAATTTCCTCGTTCTGGATGTCTTCACCGTCTGGCTGCCACCGCCATACGTTCCCATGGCGTTAATATCATGGGTTATTTTGAACGTCACGTCCATAATGCTTCCATTTGATCTGTCTCCTGGATTCTACCGCTGGGGCTATGCCTTGCCAGCCAACAGCATCTACCAGGTCCTCGTTGATATCTGGTCCGGTGGATGCAATCCCCAACTATATTACGCATTACCAGTTCTCTTCGCATATGAGATAATTGCGATGATCTTAAGCTCGATTGGAGTTTATCGACGGGCGCACTACGCATGCCTGGCCAAAGAACAGGAAGAAAAGTCATGCCGAGATAATGTTGCTGCAGCGCTGCTAGAACTGCGACAACACCCAGTGGTGGGACGGGAAACAATGCAAGACGGACGGGAACGAGAAGCACCCGAAATCGAGAAGGAAGGGGAACTGGCGGCGCCAGACCTTGGACGTGCCCTGACCCTCAACGAACAAGAAAGACTGGTTGAGTTCATGCGGAATGAGATAGCGCGGGTGAAGACGGACGATGGAAGTGCTGGTCCGGTGTTTGCTTTACCCTTTAGAGATTAATGTGCTCTTCGACGCGACCGATTCTCAAATCAACAAACCTCCATGACGGCACACCCTCTATTTCTCCACCCTTCAATGTTCTGAAATGGATTTTCTATCTTCCAGGGTCAGCCAAGAAGCTTGTCATGAGAGGAAAGGGGTAGCCGATTTATTTGCAGAGAGGACTAAATCTCAACCAATTCTCCAGAAGCTCTATATCAGTAATGTGGCTCTTTGTCTTTCCTTGAAAATAGCTGAACCAGGCAGCGAAAACCTGCATTGGCCCCTAACTCAGATGTCCTTCAAGCTCCAATTTCAGGAGAAGCTGTTGGAACAGGTCTCGATTTCGAGGCGGATATTCAGTAGTCACGGGTGAAGTATTCCGCCTCTAGATGACTACTATCATGGTTTGTCCCGATATACTGCTCCTTTCCTCGACGGCTTGCCTCGGGCAAATACTCGAACCCTCCTTATGTATTTCTTTGTCTCATCGGTCCGTCGATACAATCGGATTGTTCCGTGAGCAGAGGAGTGTCCTCGATGCCCTATCTTTCAGCCTATTGGTTTACGCACAAAGACACTCCTTTGTTTCTGATGTCTTGCCGTGCATTCTCATTGTCCGCGTTTCATAGCCTCTCCCTTGGGAGACTTCAATCCTGGAAATCTTCGTTAGTATCTCGAAGACATTACTACTCTTGGTATTCGTGTCTCAGCTCCTCGAATGACTATAAAATGTCTTTCCTGCCTGCTATTCCTTCCTATTCCAACCCCTTTCAACCCAATAAAAAGGCTGTCCACCAATATTATCAGCTCTCAATCCCTCCTGCAGAGCCTTTCTTATCTTAACAGTAAGTACTTGAGACCAGATGCTGTTTGAAAAGAACCCAGCTGCATGTACCCCCTACATGTTCTTCTGACCCTCCTCGAGATGTAACAAAGATTCGATAAGCTAAGATTTTCCTAGATAGCACAATCAAGCATACAAGATGCCTCACCTTCCCGGCTATGCAAAGCACTGGCTTATTCCCCGGAGACCCCTGCCGCTCTGGAACCGACGCCAGTTCCCAGATCAAACATCCAGCTCCGATGAGGAGTATGTGCCACCTTTTAGAAGGAGACAAAGAGCCATTGAATTCGAGCAACCAGTCCCCAGGGAACGCCCAAATCGCGTAGTCAAACGCCGTCGAGTGCGGACGGAAAGGATGCTTGCACATGTTAGCGATCCGGAACGCACACCATCTCCACGCAGAACTCGAAGAAAACGTCAACGTGCCACCTCTCCCGTACCCGATGACCAGGAACCCGGACTCCTAACTCTCCCCCTAGAACCAGTCTGGTACAGAGTCCCCCCACCGGAGGACGATACCCCAGGCCTGATACTCTCCCGATTCTACGACCAAGACCTCAACATCGACAAGACCTCATTCTTGGATGTAAGTCGTCCCTTTGTCGATCTACTCGACCATCTTCAGCGCGAGTCTGAAGCCGTGAAGACGTATTCTACGAGCATCGTTGGCGGGTTCACGATGGACGATGGACCGTGGTGGTATGAAATCTTGATTAGGCCTGAGGAGGGGGAGGAGGTGAATCCTGAGGAGCAGTGGGAGTTACTTGGGGATGGGTATGATTATGAACTTATGATTAATAAGATCATACTGAATCCGAGGATTTGGTCTGTTGTGTTTAGACATGTGAGTTGGTGCCTTTTTTTTTCAGGAGCCCCTGAGTGGTGTCGAGCGAGTGGGTTTACTGACGGACCTTTGAGTATAGCACACCCAGATGCTTCGGTATGGACTCTCGGCACGGACTCAAGCTATTATGCGGCAGAGAGTCATTGGGAAATCGCCAGAGGATAGGACAGCTGTCGAAGATATGATTGCCAAGGCTAGGTCTCGACGTAGCGATGTAGTAGCTAAAGGTGTCGTTGTGTACCCTGTTGAGATGGATCTATCATAGGCCCCTGAGGATTCGTGATATGATTGGGAAATCGAATCTTCCTTCTCTTCGTTTGTAAACTTTTCGTGTCTTCAAATTTTGGATACCAAGGAAACAGAGAGTTTTGGGGGTTCTCTTTCTACCCTTCGGCGAGAAGATATTTCTGCGAAATGTCTATCAAATGGCAGGAGGGAAAACCATCTATCTCAGGATCTCGATTCTAAGATCTTCAAAATTTCATTAACGTCTATCCATGAATCTTAAGCACACCCACTCAACTAATTTGGCGTCGCCGTCGGATCAACACTACACGTCGGCGCCGTAGTCGGCGGATCAATAACCGTCGGCGGCGGCTGCCCATACACCCTCTCCGCCTTAACCAGCACAGGTATCATCGCTCCCGTATTCAACTTAAACTCCCGATGCTTAACCGCCTCCAGAATAGAAGTGATAGCCCCCGAATGAGCAGTGAAGGAGATAAACTGGTTATCGTCGTGTGAGAAGACGTCGTCGAGGAATTGTCTGAGGCGGGCGGTACGCGCGGAGTCTGATTCGCGGAGTTTCGGGTCCCAGAGTTCGTCATCTTCGGTGAAGTTGGGTTCGATTGGGAAGGAGGGGAATTCGTGGTGGATAGCAGAGCGGGTGCTGCGGCGGTCGCAGGTGTGGATACCGAGGGTTTCGCGCAGGAGCTGGGTGTTTCTTCTATTAGTTTCCTCCTCCGCAGTTTTAAGGGGATTTTTGTGCGAATTACATACCTCCTTCACCAACGGGACGAATGGCTGGGATTCAGGTAGCGGAAGACCCGTGAAGGTGATTTGCCCAGTGGTAAGGCATCTGTGCAGCGGACTCGTGTAATAGGATTCTGGAAGCGGGACCTTGCGCTCGATCTGAGTCCTCCAGGCACCATTCGCGACCATTGCTTGCGCACGACCTTCCTCGGTCAGATGCGCATCGTCCCAGGTAGCAGTACCGTTTCCGTCGAGGAGGGACCAGTAACACTATTTCCGTACCATATTAGACGGAGGTTCAAATGATTCTGCGATGGAGGAGGTTTTCACGTACGTCCCACGCCTCAGTCCCGTAAAACTCTTCAGCGACATTGTGGTGTCCTTCTCCATGGCGTCCCATGTAGAGTACCTTGTACTGTGTGTCATGATCGCAACCTTCGTTCAGGGAACGGACTTGGTGTTCGAATCGCTCCCACTGCGTCTTCTCTCCGCGAGGGTCGAAAGTCGCATCGGCGTCGTAGGTCTGGTTAATCAAGCCAAAGCCGGTCGCGACCTGATTTCGGAGAGAAATCGTCAGTAGAGTTTCTTTTTAAGGGGCTCCCAACTGCAGAGAGTCTTTTTTTTTTCGAGATACGCACATAATCGAACGATTCAGGATCAGTTGCGGGGTCATCTTGGAGAAAGTACCCCGGGACGGTGGAGTACTCGATATACGAAGGACGAGAGCATTCGCCCATCGTGATAAACAGTATAGCGATAACTGTCGCCGCGAACGTGAAGGACTTGATCGACCTCGTCGTTGACATTGTCAAATTTTAAGGCGTTCGTTCCTGTTTTAGCCGACAGGGGATTGGTTCCAGGAACACAGCGTAGACGGCGGTCAGGATCAAAACGGAGAAGACAGGAGAGAAGAGCGTCTTCGGCTCATCTATTATATTCCATTACTAAAGGGAGGGGACCCTCGAATACCACCGACGTCCCCCCGATTTTTGGATGTTTATATTTCTCCTCATCGACATCCCCGTCGCCATGACTCTCGTCGTCTTGATCGGCATCCAACCATCATTTCCACGTGCGTTGACCACTTACTGCCACTTGGTCATTAGTCATCTCCGAGGGGATGCCAACGCTGGGCCATTAATTATTCAAAGGAGGATTCGAAGCTTGGAGATCGCATAGGCTTGATATATCAGTTGGCACAGAGTAATGAGGGGAAACGGGCGACGAAAGATACATGTAGATGTTCATCACGATATGGGACGAACGCAGACGTCACGATAAGGTTGGTTCCTCGTTTATCTGATGAGATGAGGTTTAACAAATAATCTAGTTATGGACGTTTCTTTAGCAATAGAGAGGCAAATATTGAAAACGTTTTGTTACAAATCGGCCGCGTGGCCTAATGGTTAAGGCGCTGGTTTTCGGTTAATCTCCATATAAATTATGTGAGAACTGACCTACCAGCGATTCTGAGTTCGAATCTCAGCGCGGTCGTGTAATATTTTTTTTGCATCTTTCCCCCTAATTCCATTGATGTCCGGATGGATAGCCGGTGGCCAAGAGAGAGAGAGAGCAAGAGACATTGCCATCAGATATCACGAAAATATATTGAAATAGATAACCTCAGCCCTAGCCCTAAGCCCTATTCATCAGCTCACTGACAGAGAGCCTCCTCCTTACTCTTCAAGTTTCACAGCAGCGATAGTAACTCGAATCTCTCTAGACAGTATTAATCTAATCCTTTTACAGCCGATATCGATGGTTTGGCGCGTAGAGAACGGCGTCATCTTTGAGATTCCCAAAGGAATGGGCATTGTATTGCCTGGCGAGGCTAGCACACTCTGGCTCTGAAGAAAAGATTGAGCCGGATGGTCCGTTCGCAGAATTATTATTAACGGAAGGTGACTGAGGAGAGAGGCGGTGTTGGCCTCTCACACCTGCTGTCGAGTTCTATATATGAACTGAGGGTCTCCTGGTCTTCATGTCTGGGTCCGGTTCAGGAGGGAGAGAGGGGCAAAAGAAATTCAAGCATTTTCCCCTGTCTCCATTGAGAAGCTCAACTTGCTGCTCACTCCGCCAAGTCTGAGAAGACTGATGCCTGATGCGCGTGCGGTGGTTTGGACGGAGAGTGACCGCATCCTGGGAAACTGCGGGGCATCCGTGGAATCATGTGCCACAAGAATCCTCCTTCGACCAGTTTTGGTGGGGTTAGAAGCGTCCGTCCAGCCCGGAATCTGGCCATTTTGGTTGAAAACGAACGAATCACGATGTTTTCCTTCCGATTCTTCGATGTTGTCGATCGTGTCGGCGAGATTGTGTCGGGGACCGCTTTGGGTTTAGCGTGGACTTGTCGGCGTCGTGAAATGGGAGATTCGACGATCGTTTGGATGCGACACAGTCATCATTTTATACCACAGCCTCAATTGTTGAAGGAAGAAATACAAGAGATTTTTGGTTGACGCCTGGAAGGTGGAAAGAGATCTGACGTATTCCTCCGTTCCTTGAGGTTTAAATATTATTCTCTTGTGCCTCGCGCGAACTTTTTCTTCTGCCTCAGGTATCCAACTCTCACCAAACCATCCAAGAGACTCCAAGAGTTCGACATATTCACAGTTGAACAGAGAGGAGTTTCAATCCTTCTAAACGGAAAGAGACCGTGTATAGAAGCTTGAACAGGTTATTAGCTTATATACTTAGTGGTCGTCTCTGTTGTTTTTTATCTCGTCTTCCTACATCAATTGCGATCTTGCGGGCTTGCGCATTCCCCCCCTCTTCCACCGTTCATCGTATACCGAGCATCCATGGCCAACATGCCCATCGCTTCTCGCCAGCAAGTTAGACAGCAAGGAGAGAAAGCGTTGAGCAATACTAGTCGCTTCTTTGAACAGTACGTCGCCGACGGAAGTTTCGGTGAACTGGATATGTCGATGAACGACTGCGCTACGGAACTGCTCGATTCGATGGAGGCGGATAGGTTATTGAACTCCTGTGGGCAGGACGATGGCTTCGATTTGGAAAACCTGCCGCTGATGGATTGGGAAATGCCATCCATGGGTATGGAGGGAATGTGTGATCCGATGTGGCAGACTTCTCAAAATTCTGATCTCACAACCCCATCCCTTGGGGAATCTTTAAATCTCGAGGACTCATTCCAGACGAGCCAATGCTCGACTGTGGCTCCTAGCGAGGATCTAATGTGGTCCAACGACTTCTCCCTGAATCCATCAGCCCTAACAGAAAACGACTCCTCGTCAGCTGGCAGTTCCTCCCGGCAAGAACCTCGCCAAAACTCCGATTCCGATTCTTTCGCCCTTCTTAATTCCGCCTTCAGAGATTTGGTGCAGGCCAAAGCTGCCGCCGACTCGCGTTGTGTCTCTCAAAAGGCTAAGCAGAGGGATGCTTCAATAGCTCTCCACCTGCAGCGTCTGAGAGCTGCCTGCGATCAAACGGAGCAATTGCTCGGAAATAGTGCCGGGGACCAAGGGTTGGGGTCTGAGCAGATTTCCGCTTTTGGGGGTGAGGCCGAAATGTTCTCGACGCAGCTGCAAAATGGTACAGCCTCAGGATGCTTGTCTTCAAGTGGGTATTGCTCTACGCAGAATTCGCCACGGAGTAACTGCTCCAACCCTTCCCAGAGAAGCCTTCCGGAATTGTCATCGTGTTCCGAGACGTTCTCCCCTTCAGCTACGCAGTTCCCCAGCACCGCGCAAACTCCTGCTGGATCCCAGGAGATACACGAGAACGGAGCCTTGGAGATAGTGTTGGACATGAATATGAATCCTAGCAAATCTTTACCGAGGAAACAGAAGAAGAGGTCTCAGGCCCAGCGGGAAAGGTACCAGAACGTCCGGAAACACGGTGCTTGTCTGAAGCATAAGAAATTAAAGAAGCTGGTGAGTACGGACAGTTCAGATATGACGCTTTTTCAACGAATTACTTCTCAGTTGGATAATTTCCGCTGACTCTTGCTTCTAGTGTACCTGCTTCGACAATGTCGCTCCTCGAGTTGTCCCTTGCCAGAAGATTGACGCAAACAACTCTAAATTGGAGAAGTCTCGCAGCTCGCTAAGAACATGCCAGCCCACAAAAGCGCCTCGGGTAAATAGCGGGGGCACACCACTCTCTGTTCCGTCAATGTTACCCGCATCCAGCACAAGCCCGGGTCACGACCGGGTCCTATCCGGCAGGATTCTCGTATCGTCGACTTCACCTGCAGCGAACACAGCACCAGGTCACGACCGGCTCCTCCTCGACGAAAACGTACAGACTATTTCCGAAACCCTGGTCTGCAAGAGCACCCCCGAACCAACCTCTGGTTCATTCCTCTGCCTCATCCCCGGATGCACATATGCTGGCGTGAATGTTCGGTCCCTGCAATCCCACTACGGATCGACTCATGCACGCGAGATTCTAACCTCCACTTCCCTACCCCAACCATGGTCCCCGGTTATGCCACGGACCACCCAACAACGAAGCAGCCTCGACGCTGTCCACTACCGCGCAGGCGCCCGTCAAGACGTCTCCGCGACAGGGATTTACATGGACTCCACCACCGTATTCTCTCAGCAACAATCGACTATCCAAGTCCAAGGCACCGGACGGATCGATCCAGACATTGACTGCCGGATTGTCGGCAGTTGCGAGTCTGGCTCGAAGAGCAGCAGCTCTGTTCCGCAGGTACCTGCGAGACTCCGTCTTCCGGATGTTGTCGGCGACCTGCTTTACGAGGTACCGGGAGTATTCTCAGTGCCGCTAGTATTGGTTGTTGGGCTGCTTTGGAGTCTTTTCATGAAGGTATTCACTTGGGTTCTCTCGAATCGCCCTTCCATTCAGGTTGAATGGAGGCATGGTTTGGGTCCTCGAGGACACTTTGGAAACATGGTGATGAGTGCTCTCGGATAAGAGGGTATTGCCATGGTCTGAGCAAACCTTGATTTTATGATGTATCTGATATTTTTCTTTGTCGTTAAGGGGTATATGTTGTTTCTTCCCCTCCCTTTCTATGTTGATACCTCTTGTGTTACCGTATCTACACACAGTTCCCCTCAAGTTCATTTATTTTGGGGATATAGCATATCATAAAACAGTTAGACCCCACTTAATCTACTTTTTTGGAATATCAATACTCTTCTCCTCTCCCTGCCCATTTACCCACGGCAAACACGCCTCATAAAGCCTCCTCAACTCCCCCTCCCCAACCCCCATCATCCTCTCAAAATCCGCCTTATCCGTCCTCTCCACGAACGCAAAAAAGCTCACCATCAAAAAATCCGCGTAGCCAGGTCTATCCCCTTCGAAAAAGGGCCCATCAACCTCCTCCTTCCCCTGGTGGCCCTTCAACATCTTAACCACAACCTCCAGATCAGCAATGAAGCCCCTCCACTCCATTTCCAGCTCCTCCCCCTTGGCGAGTAGCTGGTCCAACGGCAACCCGTATACACTCTTCCAACTCCTCGTGTACCGGTAGTATTCCGCTCCCGCTTTATCCAGGATATCGGGGACTTTGGGAATAAGCATCCTCCTTGACCTCATAATCAGACTCGAAATAATTCCCTGCACAGCCACCGCAAGGGCATGGCTCGCCCGTCCCGACGGGAAAAGGGGTGGGTACTCCGGCGCTGGGAAGGTCTTGTCGAGGTGCAGCGCGATGGGCCAGCTGTCGTTCATTGTCCCCGAGGGGGTGGCGGTTATGGATTTCGGGTGGGTGATTGCCGGGAGGGTGTATGGCATTTTACCGGTTGTGAGGGGTTGGAGGGAGTAGGATTTTAGGAGGGGAGCGATGTCTGGGTAGGAGATGTAGGATTGGGTGTAGGGGATTTGTTTGTAGTTGAGGATCATGCGGGTGCGGAGGGTGTTTGGGGACCATGATTTTTGGGGGACTGAGGGTTGTTGGGGTTAGCAATTGGTTGCGGGTTAGGGGGTTGATGGGTGTAGTGGTTAGGGGGGGTACCTGGGAGGGATGAGGTGATGTCCAGAAAATGAAGCTTTTCTTGGGAGGCCATTTTCGATGCTGATGATATGTAACGAGGTAGGTTCAATGTTTGATTTTTGAGGAATCTCATCTCCAGGAGAGGTGTCCTGTAAACAAGGTCACTGCTGGCTGTTTATATTGTAACCATTCGCCGAGTTTCCCAAGTAGTTTCACTCCTGTTCCTGATTAGAAATTCCCTCTCGTATCAGTGAGAGATAATTGCGGGGAAGTTTCTTTAGCTCGGCAGTAATCCGCGAGACTTCAATGTACTCAATTCCTCTCACAGAAACACGCGCTCAATCTTTGAGGAAAGAGTCATCCGATATTCAGACAATCAGATGGAATGATGTCACAGGTTCCGCGGTATTATTAAGCAGCTTAAATCCAGCCCGTGTTTTGTCAGCAACTTTAATTTCTCTTTCACTGATAGGCTCGGGTTGAGGAGGAGACCCATAGTTAACCGAGCCTTAAGTTAACGTCTCACCAAGATTGTGAATGGAAGGATTCAAGAAAGGGACTGGGA